CAAACACCGCGGTGCTGACTGTGCCCGCAGCGAGACCCTGGCCAAGAGAAAACCGCCTTCTGAGTTTTGTTCTTCCCACAGATCTGTTCCTGGGGCACTAGGATTTGCTGAGAGTCCGTAGCCAACCCCTCTCAGCACAGTGAGCAACCAAGGTTTCAGCTGCTGACTTGCCAGTCTGTGTGCAAACAACTCCTGCACTGGGATTTACACTGGTGTGCTTTAGAATGAAAACCCCAGTAGGATTTTCATGCCAGAATTCCCTTTTTTTTTTTTTTCCTCTCTCTTAAAAGCCCCAATAAGTGCCCTTTTTACAGCTGCCACAAACTGTTCCAGCTTCAACCTGATCTGTGTTGACATGACTTTGCCAAAGGGATTAAGGGTTAAGTGTGTGAAACACTGTGATCTCCAGTAAAGGCACTGCAGACGGGCAAAGCCTCTGCTGCGGTAAGAGCTGAGGCAGCAGTGTGCAGTGAGAGCCCCCAGCTGATGTTCCTGTGCTTGGCATGATGTGGTCTGTGGTGTGAGACAGCTGCTTTTTTCTAGTTGTGCACACCAGTGAAAGTTCCAGGAGGCTGAACGGGTGAAAAACCCTTGGGCCAGCAATACCCTGGACTTGAGAACAGTCTCATGCCTGGTTTTGTAAGCAAATCCCTTCAATGACTACGCTCAGGGAAAAGCAACTCCCTGGAGCCCATCCTGGGCCTGGAATTGCTGCTGCCTGCAGAATATTCCCACCTCATGGCCCAGTGTTGTCTCCAGCCCACGCCTACCTTCTGCCAGCAGCTCCAGCGTGCCAGAGTTGCAGCCATCAAACTTCAGCAGGTCCACGCCCCAGGAGGCAAATGTTTGGGCGTCCAGGTCATAGTGGTTGTAACTGCCAGGAAAGCCAGCACATGTCTTGTTGCCAACATCACTGTAGATTCCAAGCTTCAGCCCCTTGGAGTGGACCTGCACTTGCAGAGACAGAAAGAGAAGTGGGGATGGAGCAGCTGTGAGGTGGGAGGAAGCGGAGCTGGGCTGGCAAGGGAAGCAAAACCCCGCTCTAGCTCAGCAGCTACACAGCTGTTCCCCACCTCCCTTCCCTGTCCTCCTCTGCTGCCAGCAAGCCTCCAGGTCAGGTCCCCAGCTGCTGTCATAGAGTCACAGAATGGTCTGGGTTGGAAGGGATCCTGAAAGATCATCCAGTCCCAACCCCCCTGCCATCAGCAGCACCTT